TATGAGAAGGTGGTGTCTATTTACTTGTGACCACTCAGTGTATATTTATTTATTTATTGATATTCATACTAAATTAACTAATCTATTTCTCAGAAAGAAAGAAATGCAACAAACTATCCCGCGTGGTTCGTTAAGAATGCCTAAAGCAGCCTTTTGATGCAATAAAAATAAATATGGTCGACGGTACAAAAAAAAGAATTTATTTAATAAACCAACAGCTTACAAAACTGACAATACTATCTCATGTAGTTTTCACACACAAAAAGTAAACGTATCAAAACTGAATTAATTCATACTTGAATCTGAATAATACGCCAAGTTATCGTATACTTTACCAATAATTACAAACTCAAGGTTAAAAGTGAAAAGTTTTTTTACTCTAGCATAAGACACAGAATAACATTTGAAAGTATTGGAAACAAAAGTTGAGCCTGATCAACATTCATCTGATTTAGCTTAGACTAGGATTATATTTCCTCGAACACAGTTTTGTATTACCAGTGATTGGTGAAAAATTGCCAATAAAGCTTAAGTATACACATACATACATACACACACATATATATATATAATCCTATTTCCTTTTTCTTAGGTGAATTGTATTAACACAAATTTGTAGGTTTTTACTAAGACTAGTAAGAAGTGAAAACTAACAAAACATTTTCTTTGCCTTAATTTACACACATTCAAAAGTGAATTCAAAATCAGAAAAAAAGAGATACGATTTTTTTATTGATATTTTTCTTTCATATATTTCATATTATAAATTTTTAATGTGCAAAGGAACACATAGGTTGAAAATGAAGATGGATATTACTACTTATATACATATGCAATTCCTTAAATCTTAGAAAACAAAAAACAGGTATAGCTCTGAACTTGTACGAACTATCACTGTCTTTAATAAACAATAGATTCATCACTGAAATCAAATTAAAAAAATCAATTTCAAGACAATAATTATGCAAACAAGCACTGTGTGTGTGTGTCCGAGCGCGCAACTATATTTCATAAAGACGAACAAAATAAAACAGAGTAATATTTTTTTTTTCAATCAAAAGAAAAATTTATTCTTTTTTACTTTAAGGGTTTATTTTGTGGACTGTTAATTTTTTTTCCATAACAAGTGTGAGAAGTTTACAAGTTCATGAATATAACTTTCTGGAACGTGCTAGTTTTACACAGAATACCCCTGAAAACCTATCTGTTTAAAGTAAACTTTAACTCTTAAAGTCTCGAATATATGCACCTTTTATAACTATTGTTGATGAACAGAATAGAGATATAAAAATGTATAAAAAAGAATAAAAATAATTCCACTTGAACAAATCTAATCTATAATACGATACAAGTTTTATTTCTATCTAACTATATCTTATATTACTGTTTTTGCAAATTCAGAGTCAGCTTTGTTCGTTATTACCACCCATAGTACGAGAATCGTAAAACAACTCGAATAAACAATATATTTCACCTCTTCTGTTCAACGATTAAATTTTTTATACTGTTGAATATATAAATTTCGTACCAATGTTTAATTTCCAAACGAATGACTTTATTTTGTTATAGTATAATTTTTTTTGTATATTATTAAGCACACAACTACAGAATGGGCTATATGTGCTGTGTCCAACACTGGTATCGAAATACGATTTTCAGCGTTATAAGTCATCATACTTACCACTGAGCCACTGTGTTGAAGAGGGGGGGGGGGGACTATAACAAAACACGAATAAAATGAACAAAAAAAAACATTATGCGATAACCAACACAAATATTTACATTACTTTTATACATACATACATACGTGAACACTACATATTTCAGCCATCTGATTTTTTTACCTATGACAACATCTAATAACTGATCAGTACCCTTCCAAATTCAGCATTATTAACAACAAATGGAATGTCAATAGTAAATATCTTTAGTGAAAAGTTGTATGGATTTGTGCAGTGTCTTGATGCTTAACGGTTCACTTCTGCAGCATTTGCTAAAGCAGATCGGATTCTTAGTCTCAGTTACATTTACCATAAGATGATGATTGACAGCCGCCGAACTTATTAATGATCATATATTTCTAGATGTTTTCGCACTAGTGTATCACAATGCACAAAGACGCTGATCACAGCTCAGTTACAGGTGCGATCTTCAAAGGTCGCTGAGCAGCTTGTAGAATAGTGTCGTCTTCTTCTAGGTACCCTGTTTTATGATACTTGGTTTCCTTTTTCCTGGTATTCCACCTACTCTTTAAAGTTCCTGTCACTTTCTTACGGTACTTGAATCCCACGACAGCAATAGCTACCATTATCACAACTGCAACTACAATTATTCCAGTAATTATTGGTCGTCGATGATCTTTCAGAGTACATCCTAAATCACTCTGAGTAAGCTCACGAAGAATTTTGTCTTTCAGATTCGACGGACTGGCACATCGTACTTTACTGAAATCTTCCTCTGAACTAAAGGACAGGTTAACAGCACGAAGATAAGTGGCTAACCATAACATGTCGCATGCGCAAACCAAAGGGTTGTCTCTTATATCTAGTACTTTCAGACCCCCAGAAATAAGGTCTTGGTCAAATGACTGGAAACTATTTCCTCGAAGGTGTATTTCCTGCAACTCGTGCAAGTTTCTAAAAGTCGAAGCGTCAATATAGTTTAGTTTCTTATTGTAATTCATGACGATGCGCTCCAAGTTCTTGTTATCTGCAAAAGAATCAGCCTCAACTCTATTTAAAGTTGCAGTATCGCTTATATCGATCACTCTCAAATATTGGAGTCTCTGAAAGGATCGAGATTTTATCGTTGAAAACTTGTTTTGCCCAAGGTATATCTCTTCTAAGTAAATGACATCGAAAAGAGGTTTTGTGGGAATTTCAGACAGTTCGTTCTTCTCAAGTCGCAGTATTTTAAGTGCATTTAACCATTTGAATGCGCCGTACACTATCTCCTGAATCCCACAATTGTCTAGAATCAGTTCTGTCAGTTTATTTAAAAAAGAAAAAGAATTTTCTGGAATGGAAGGAAAGGAATTCAATCCTAGATCAAGAGTCAATAGGTTTTTGAGACTGTGGAATGATTCTGATGGTATGAATGTTAGTTTTGAACTTCGCAGAGAAAGGTACTCCAGATTGTTTAATCCCTGAAATGAATCTTGTAAGATGGTCGAGATCCTATTCATGGACAAGTCCAGCTTTTTCAAACCTCGAAGTTTTGTAAATACACTATCTGGAATGCTTTGTAATAGATTATGATCCAAAAACAGTTCTGTGAGCGATTCTAAGCCCAGAAAAGTTTCGTTATTAAGTTCAGAGATCAAATTACTACTAAGGTTTAATAATTGTAAACTTCTAAGTCCTATAAAATTAAAAGGCGTCAATTTTACCAGCTCGTTATGAGATATGTCAAGATGTTCCAGGTTCCGATACACACCAAGTGATAACATTGTAGTTTTTATACGATTGTTATTAAGACTGAGATATTTCAAATGTGGATTTAAAGTAATGGGTATAACATCAAGTTTTGCAAAATTACAAAAAGCTCGTAAGTTACCATCGTCACAATCACAACTCACAGGACACAGCCCCGAAATATCTTTCCATATACAAATGAAATAGAAGAGTAGAACAATAATTCCAGGTGAACCACGTAAACGCTGCATTGTTTTCAAACCTAACCTGTAAAATAAAAAAAAAACTATATTAACTCACAAAAACAATGATAGGGTCTTACTTAAGACGCATTGTTTAAAATTTTATAAAAACATATACAATTATTGTAATTTTATGTCACGAAAATTACAAAAAGCAATTGGAACTCTTGGAAACCGTAAAATGTTTCTTAAAAATCACCCCTCAACTCATTTTTTAGGCAAATCAGGCACTTGATGACTTCTATAATTTCGATCTAAAATACAAGCGACTGATCATTCAGCGTACGCTGAAGCCACTAGACGGAATTTGACTCGCGCCACCATAACACACTAAACATGCTTGACGAAACCAAGTCGGTGAGCGTACAAGCTACTCCATTCACTCAATTTAACCTCTTCAAGGATTGCGCTAACCAGTTTAACATGGTGGGGTAGAAGTTATCCATTTGACTGAAGCCAATACCAACATATGGCAGCACAAAAGTTGTAGGATGTGATCACTATAACGTGAGGGAGTAATGATTCTTTTCCGCGAGATGTAAAGATCTGTGCGTTTTATCACTGCTTATTTCTGGTGGTCGCATCTGGAATGCTTTGCAATAGATTATGATCAAAAAACAATTCTGTGAGCGATTCTAAGCCCAGAAAAGTTTCGTTATTAAGTTCAGATATCAAATTACTACTGAGGTTCAATAACTGTCACCTCTTATTTCTGGTGGTCGCACCATATTTAAACCACTGCCATTTGCATCCTGTTTCTATACAAAAGAGATTTCAACTGGGTTAAGACCATCAAAATGAGTATACATCTGTTATATGACTGAGTGAAGCGCGACTAATTCGAAAATAGAATACTGTTCCCTATGTAGTCGGTCCATTGGACTTGTATTCGGCACCATTTCCATGGAGTTATTTTATGCTTTACTAAGAGCTGAATGACAGTCCAAGTTCAATGATATGGCATTGTGGCTGCGAATATTCGAATCAGTCTCGGAGTAAGTTAGGTATAACTACAGCGAGACAGAATTGACTGGTAGTTTTGTCTGTGTTGTAGATGATGATCTACCTTGTGCAGATGTCTGATCAACTGTTTGGAAGCGGTTTCATTCTGCTAATGCTGTAACTGACCATTTTTCATTGGTACAATAGCTCTCCGAAATCTAGTCATGTCTCATGAACAAATTGAAGCACTCAAACTTTCCACTTCACTTTAAAATGGCAACTAAGGAACGCTTGAGAAACCACTATAGAAAGCACAGGCTGAAGGACCAATCATTTGCATTTCAGCTCACGTGACCGATCACCAACTGAATAGCATTATTTCATGCCAGTAGCTTTTTTTCACAGCTATATATATATGTATATATATATATATAGTATTATAAAATCCAGTTATCATGCTAACTTTTTATGCAGTGTAGTTATGAGACGAATATCGATAATAAATAAAGAAAAAAGGTTTGGTAAACATACGGAAATATAAATCACCTTAAAGAAACAAAAATACCGACAGTGACAAAGAAATTTAAAAAATAATAATTTTTTTCCATTCTCTCTCTCTCTGTGTAAATGTATATAAATCAATAAACTTGTTAAAAAAAAACACACGCACAATTCTGCATATGTTACATTTAGAACACTGGCATATACCCAAGTGTTCCAGACAATTTTCGGACAAACTCCAGTGAAATCGTAAGTACACACTCTTGAAGGATACGTTTTCTTAATTTAGATATTTACATTGGCTAGAGAAAGTTCTGACGTCACAAAATGAATGTGTAGTCCAGCGTCTAGAACATTTGGATGAGAGTGTTGAAATGAAAGCATATAAACGCGAGTTAGGCGAGAATAGAAGGATAAGGTTGTGACTGATTACTGAATTTGTTAGTCGGTCTGTCTGTACGTACAGTTTTGAAAATTGAGCTTGTGTTTCATAGTAGAAACAGCAGACGTACTGTATGTACTGTAACTACGTAAGTTTAGCGTTCGTTATTCGTGAATTTAGTTCTATTGTTGGAAATCGTGAATGTTCTAGAACTTGAATTTCAAGAAATATACAATGCTCTCGTTATCATTAAGTGGATTGGACTTATATTCTTCTCTTTCTTTTTTCAGTGGAATAATGCAAAATAATCTCTCCAACCTTTTCAACAATACAGATACACATGGACTTTTCTACACAGTATTGAACTTCTTTCGCTTCGTAATTGTATAAGCTGTTTATATTATAAAGACAAAGCATAAAATACAGTGGATAATTTTCTGTGTTTTGGAAACCGTGCACGGAAAATATTAGTTTTCCCGTTTCTTTCAATATCTTTATGTGGAAATAACTATTTTTAATACAACCAAAAGTTGTTGTTAATAAAAAATTTAACAACAGAAAATGAATCTACTTTTTACGGTACTAAACAATTAAACCAGTATAGAATTCACTACAACTTCTATGGTACTAGATACACACCTCGTATAGAAATTCTTACCGATTATAGTTTCACCCAACGGTATTTTCATTCCATCACGCGAAAGTCAATAAAATTGCCTAAAAAGATGTTGTTTTAAAGAGGTAAAATAGAAGAAGCTAAGAACATATAACAAGACACAGAAAATCTGTCAGTTTTCATTTTTTACCTTCGAAATAGTCCTCTGACACATCTGGACACTATATGCTAAGAGTGTTTGGAGTACTACAAATTTGCAAAAGATACGATTTGTAATGACGCTTGTCCCTATATTTCTGGCGCCTTTCTTTTTTTTTGGGGGGGGGGCTTCGTTATTTTATACTTTCCAGTGTCACCTATTTTGGATTGAATTTTTGTGCATAAAAAATTTAAAACTCATAATATCTTTATATTTCGCAACATACCTAAGCTGACGTTTATTTAGATAAATACAACAATATTTCATGAACGCTAGAAAACATAACCATGCATTTAAACGTTATAAAGCCATTAACTTCAATGCAGACGCATAAGCTGAATATGCAACAATATTACTGAGTGTCTCAAAAAGTCGAATGCCATTCTAATATTGACGAAATTAAAAATTAACATTACTCTTTATGCTTAGTTTGTTTTTTTAACATAATGGCAAATAAGCGTTAACGAGCGTGAGGAGGAGATTCGTACTGGACGTTTTTCAGGACTGTATGGATTTTTAGGGCGGACATTTTCAACATATTCTGTACACGTGAACAGACATTCAGCCTATACCAATTGACTTTAGAGACACCCTGTATTGAATACAAATTCCAAAACTGAGTTGTTGTTTTTTCGAAACAAACATTAATGTTAAAACAAAAACTACGTTCATCCTCATAATATCAAATTCCAGATACAACGACGTCTACGTCCTTGGCCCTTAGGTGTCCACATTTTAAGTGTCTCCGTTTTAAAATATAATGTTACTGTAAGACTATCTTTGAGATATGGTGTCTGAACCAATCTGTTACACTTCTGTCACGTTTGGTACTTGCATGAAATATGATTATAACAACTGGACTTTGGTAAAAAGCATGTACTATGGTAATGCTCTAGCATACATTTTTAGAATAACTGCCAGAATGAGGACCGTACTTGAATACAAGGTCGATAAGAACCCTTAAGAATATGACATCACTTTCTTAAATAGTTTAAAACTATCCTTATTAAAAGGCGGAACGTAAAACAAAAGAAGGCAAAATGATTAATATAAGATAGTTCTAGGACTATATAATAAGAAAACAACTAAAGATTTTACAAATATTTAAATTTGTACTTCATTTATTACGTTGGTCGCTAGACCATTACGTACAAGTGTTCCCTTGTTTTTGTAACAGTTTATACAAAATACCGGGCATTTAATAATTTACACAATTCCAACTATAAATTTAATTACACCACGTATGTTTTTATTACGTTGAACTTAATCTACAACAGCTTTACGTAAAATTTAACATTTCTGGTATAACGTCGAAAATCAATAAAAGATATAATAACGGACAGCACATATATAGTGAACATTTTAATCAACGCAGAAATTAAAAATAAACTAACGCCTTTCTCCAATAAAAAGAATAAAATTTCAATGACTTCAAAAGTCATTATATCACAGCTGTAATTTGTATCTGGAGATTTCGAAATTAAGAGACAAACAGCTTGCGCAGACTTAGGGATCTGAAGTGTACAACTTATTCGTAAGTAGCTGATGTTGAGAACCAAACTGTAATGAAACATTGCTACTTATCTAACGTAAGCATGAACAGTAAGCCTGAAATAAGATATACTTATATAATTCTCTTGATACACGCTTATTTAATAACATCAGAAATTGTCGACCTTCAGTTTCAGACTGGCAATCAGCCATGTTGGTGTCGCTTCTGGTAATAAAGACTTAATAAACAAGTTTGGGAAGTTAACTTTCCTTGAGCTACAAATCAAACTGTCCTTGAGAACTTTTTCTGTAGCAATTTAATGACGCGTAATGTACTTACTGTTCTGAGCAATACCGCATTTTTTTTCTTCTATAAATGTATACTCATTAAAAAATAATAATAATGATTTTCAATTATTGAGTATTTATGCTACTGTACTTAAATCACGATTTGTACTTAGTGTAATATATGGAGATCTGATAAGGGAAATACCAATTATTTTATTTATTTGTTTTAGCTAATACGATACAGGTACACAATCCTATTCGCACGAACAAAAACTACATTTTATGAAGAATGCAGTATACAAAACGTTGAGAAACAGAATGCAATTTTAAATGTAGCGTCACGAATATTTCCAAGCTGTGACATTACGAAATACTGAGTTACTGTTTTTCCAAGGTTTATCAGCATATTCCCCACTTCCACCCTAAAAAAAACAACAAAAAACAAATAAACAAAGTAAATAAATCAAGCACACATTACGACACCTCTGTACAAAAGCTAACAATCTAGCTTTTTCTGATCGCTATCACTAGTGTTGTGTTTATTGAATAATTATCTTGCGAAAAAGTAATTGGAACAGCTTGTGCTCGTTTAACTCCATACAAAAA